TGGGTGTAATTTTACGTTTCCTTCGTTTTAAAGCAATACAAAGTTATTGAGCAGATAGTTTTGTGCCGAATCATGAAAAATCATGAACACCAGTCAAGTCTCTCACTCTGAAAACTTGCAACCTTTTTGTTTGTTCGTTTGTTTTGGTTTTCAAATAAATATAAATATATATATATATAGGAACTAATATAGGAATGCACCATTGTAACAGCCTAGTTCAGTCCATGGCTTTTACTTCTCTTAACACTATAGATAAGAATTGTGTTGCAGTTACTAGTCGAGGCAGGAAAACATCAGGCTCCTGGGGCCTCTGATTCCTACGCAGGAACCCCGAACCACAAAGGGATGACAGGCGCCCGTCCCCAAGATCAGAGTGCAATGCAGAGTGGTGTCACCTGGGCTCTTCCTGCCTGGGAATGTTGCCAGTTGGTACCTGTACTCCTCGTTTCTCTACTTTTGGTTATGAATGTTGGGGTTTCCACCTGCATTTAGGGGAAAATTGTGTTCTGTGCTTTCTGGTATCTTGTTCTGAGGTACACTAGTTCTGTCTTTCAACCAAGAAAATAGATTTGTGGTGTTCTTTTCTTGACCTTACAGTCTCCTTAGCAAATACAGGCGGTTGAATAATTGTTTCAAGAGCTGAACAATGACAAGCTTCGTTTCTAGACTAAGACATTTCTCAACAGCTGTATCATGTACAATGGATCTTTTGGGGTTGTTTTGTTTTGTTTTTCCCTTTTTTTCCTTGTGTTCTTCCAAGCTTCTGGTTAGAGAAAAAGCGGGGGTGGGGGAGGAAAATGTGTCTAAAGTCCATCAGTGTTAACTCCCTGAGACAGGGACGAAGGAAAATACTTTAATAGTTCAAAAAATAATAATGCTGAAAGCTCTCTACGAAAGACTGAATGTAAAAGTAAAAAGTGTACATAGTTGTAAAAACAAAAAAGGAGTTTTTAAACATGTTTATTTTCTATGCACTTTTTTTTATTTAAGTGATAGTTTAATTAATAAACATGTCAAGTTTATTGCTGCACTGGGCTTAGCTTTCTTTTGGCCTTGGTGGGGGGTGGGGAAGGGAGGGGCATGTGACTGGGTTACTGAGTGCCCAGACCTCCCTTCTTTAAGATGGTTCCCTTACCTGGGGTGTCCTTCACTGAGTGGTGATGTGTATCTGTGACCTCGCAGGTTCTGGATGAAAGGGCTTTGTTTCTGTCTGCCTATATCCTCTAATGGGAGACTAGTGGTTTCTAAACCCAACTATAATAAAAGCATTTGGTCCGGTCTGTGCTCCACTCCACCTTAAGGCTGAAACAGGGTTTGTTTATTCTGTGTTAAGGTTCAGTTGGGAAATACTGTAAAACCACTAGACCAGGTCACTAACCCTAGCCATGGAGGCTGAGCCAAGAGCTGGAAGACACCCCTTCTGATTGGCAGCTGTGCCAGTGCAGAGCCTCCTCCATTTACAACTGCCCCTACAAGCCCTACCCTGTTCCCACCATCCTCCCCTGTATCCTGAGTTACCTTTGGAGACCTTGGAGCTGAGCACCATGGGGACTTCAAATGACCAGGCGGTGCTGCAGGCCATCTTCAACCCCAACACCCCATTTGGAGACGTCATTGACTTGGACCTGGAAGAAGCAAAGAAAGAAGATGATGAAGGTAAACCTTTGACCTTAGCAGGCCCCTGAAGTTCCCTAAGAGTGGTGAGGCAGGACCCCTCAATCCACCCTCGCAGATTATGGTAGGGGTTGGAACCAGAGAGGTCCTCTGAACTTCAGTGCTTAGGGTTGCAGAAATGACTATCAAGAGAAGGCCAGAGTTCGTCTCTCATCATTCAGCCTCACACCACTAAACCTACCACTAATCTTCTCAGGATCCAAGCTTAACTGTGCTGGCTGAAGTCAAGCTCTCAAGTCTTTTGACATAGGGGATGTTACATGCCCTCACCCCACAACAGGGATGGAAGACAAACAGGACGGGATGGTGGCTCAGTTGACACCCTGACATGACATCAGAGCTTCTTTTGTTAACCGCTGTTACAAGCCCAGGCCCTGAGCTAGGTAGCTGCTGCCCCCAAGGGAACAGCATGATACGTTGCCTAATAAGAAAGATGTTTGGAGCTTTGCTTCTGCCCAAGTGAAGCCTGAGCCTTACTGAAGCTTCAGACTGAAAACCTGAAGGACAGATCTGGAGTGATTTCCACAACCTGGGATTGTCACAGTGGTCTGTGTCAGAGGCAGTGTGTAAAGCAAAATGAGGACGAGCCAAAGACAAGGGTTCAAATCTAAGCTCCACAACCTGGGACTGTGGTCCAGTCTAGAACACGCCACCAATGAACGAGTTGTTGAGCCTCTCTCCACCAAGATGAGCCATCCAGTATCCCTTTTGGGTCTCTTAGCCAGTGCTAGTTCCCAGTTTTTGTGACCTCAGCTACTCCTATCCCTGACTCTGCAAGTCACCTCTGCTGTGATCCACACACACCCAGTCAGCTCTGGTTCAGGCGTCTGTCTCATAATGTCGAAGCCCACAGTGGCTACCGTGCACATCCCCACCTTGTTTCTTCCCTGGTACAGATGCTGTTTTCCCGCAAGCACAGTTGGAACAGTCCAAGGCCCTGGAGTTGCAGGGAGTCAAGGCAGCAGAGGCTGGGGACCTCCACACAGCCCTGGAGAAGTTTGGCCAAGCTATCTGCCTGCTCCCTGAGAGAGCCTCTGCCTACAACAACTGGGCTCAAGCCCGGCGACTCCAGGGGGATGTAGCAGGTGAGGAGGGGAAAACACCAGAGATCCTCCACAGAAAGAACCCCTTCTGTGAAGGCCAGAGATGAGTTGGCTCTGGGCTGAGTTTAGTTACACAGATGCTAAACTCCCTGATGTCAGTATTCTTATAAAATCCAAGACAGTATGGATTCTGCTAACTTCATGTGACTGTTATGAAAACCAAGAGGCTGCATTCTGTGGATTTAAGGGACATTAATAAGAGCCTTGTAGGCAGTGGGTAGGCGAGAAGTGGAGGGCGCGAGTAGAAACCATTTGTATAGTAGTTACTTTGGTCCAGGCAGGATGCAGTCAGCTGGCCTGTAATCATCCTCATGACCACTTAAAAGGTGTGTGTTGTCATTCCACTGCAGAGACGAAGAAAGGGAAGCATACGGAGATATAGATAGATCGCTTCCCCACCCTCCTCCAGCTGAGGAGTGGCTGAACTTGGATATCAAAGAGGTGGTGGGGCTCTAAATCCCATGGTGCTGCTCCCTAGGGAGCTCATAACTAGGTTACCAGCAGGCAAATCTGAGAGAAAGCAGCATGGGACCTCTTCCTGAAGGGTAAATTCTGAAAGATGAGGAATTAGTTGATACAGTCTCTAGCAGCCTAGAAAGCATGCCTAGGTCCTAGGACCTCAGAACTCCAGACTGGCTGGAGCGGGCCCCATGGAGGGATGGAAAACCAAGCATTGCTGAGGTGTGCAGAGACCCAACAGTGACAAACTACCAGTGTCAGACTGAGAAGGTGATTGTCGCTCAAGGATGTAGCATGGACAGAGAAGGCAACTGGATGAAAACCGATGTATTCGGGTCACTGGGACTAGAATGGGGACCATGGGACAGAGAGGAATAGTACCAGGAACTGGGCCAGATGGGAGTGAAAGTGTATGCCAGAGACCTGGTAGAGAACCAGCTCATATAGAGGACTAGTTGCCAGGGGTGTTCCTCGAGCTTTAACTAGAGAATTTGGACTCCATTCTAATGATAGTAGGAGATACCCACAAAGCTCCTTTTGCAGGCTTGTCTGCCATAGGTTGTTGGTGACCGACTGCAGGTGGAAAGCAGGGAGGTGACCCCGCCTGTAGAGACTTGGATGCCAGCAGCCTAGGTGTGGAGAGGAAACTGAGCAATGTCTGGGCCCAGAGCTGCTCAGTTTGCAGTTTGGATGGAGTAGGGAACCAGAACCGGAACCAGAACCCCTGACGGTGGAAGCTCCATGATGGTGCCTAGCAACACCAGGGTCCTGGTAGCCACTTTAGGAGACTAGAAAATATGGATTGAAGCAGGGTCCAAAGAAAACAGCTGGTGGACTTCACAAAAACCCTAAGCTGGCTGCCTGGGGTTCTGAGTTTTGACACTCAACCCAAGTATGTTCCTCTGAGAATCACAAAAATAAAACAGGGCAGCCAGCTCTGGCTCCACGACCTCCTTCCAGTGAAATCAGATACAGGGCAATGAAGAACATGGAGATAATGCAGGAGGAAATGAGAAGAGGGCTGATTTCATAGTCTGCACTAGAAAAGACGGGGAAAGGTGAAAAGAAAAGACTGGCGTTACAGCAGGAAATAGTTGTATAGGCAATGATCTAATTTTTGAACTCTAGGATTCAGAGTGGGTCGCCATACACACAGTAGATGCTTAGCTACTGTGGTGTGAGCTATAGCCATTTGACAGTTGGCAGATTCCCTAATACAATGACCAAATCCTCTCAGCAACTTTCACGTTTGGATTCATCAGTGGTAGAACATACTAGGAACAAGGCCGGGGCGAGCCTTGGACTTTAATCTCAGCTTTGCACTTGGGTTGTCCCCAAAAACAGTTTTTATCAACCTTTCATCTCCGTGTTAGGAATAACAATCCCTCTTGGTTCAAAAGTCTGCTACACGAAGGCGAGTTGTGAATGGCGGGGTTGGGCTGTTCGGCGGGTTGGCTGGGGGCTCGGATGCCGCACTTCGTTGACCCGCGCCATCTCCCCGTCGACCCGCAGGTGCCCTGGAGGACTTGGAGCGTGCAGTGACGCTGAGCGGCGGCCGGGGTCGCGCCGCCCGCCAGAGCTTCGTGCAGCGCGGGCTCTTGGCTTGTTTGCAGGGCCGGGACGACGACGCCCGCAGGGACTTCGAGCAGGCGGCGCGATTGGGCAGCCAGTTCGCGCGGCGCCAGCTGGTACTGCTCAACCCGTACGCCGCGCTGTGCAACCGCATGCTGGCCGACATGATAGGTCAGCTACGCGCGCCCAGCAATGGGCGCTGAGCGTGGCCGCGGCGTGATGGAGAAGGGAACCCAGACCCAACTAAGACCCAATAAAACTTCCAGAACTGCCGACTGCGTCTGCTTTGCGTCCGCCCTCTCACCAACCAGCCTCAGGGAGGGGACCGCGGCGTGGGCGGGACTGGAGCGGCCACCTGCGCGTGCTCGGGCAGCGATTGGCCCTGCCTGGCGTGGGCTCCGCCCTTGCAGCGGACTGCGGCGCTCCCCAGACTTAAGCAATTGCTGGGGCGCTGCTCCGGGAGGGAGCCTGGTGAGCCCTTCGCTCCGAAGCCAGGGATGCTCCGGCGACCCCCGGCTCGGAGATGCTCTCGGCCCAAGTCCACCTGATCGCCGAGATTGGGAAAGGGGTGCATGGCGAAATATGGGAGGGAGAGCCAGTCCTGAAGGGGACCGGGTCAGGAGAAGGACGATCCCCTGGGGCAAACGGGAAGGGCGCATGTGGACCGACCCTGTGTGTGTGTTTGTGTGTGTGTGTCTGTGTGTATCTTTGTGTGACTGTCTGTGGTCAACTACTGTCTGTACCCGCAGAGTGGCTCTTCCTTTGGGTCTTGTTGACTGTGTGCCTGTTTGTGCCCGCGTGTTGGCCACTGTGGGCCAGTCTACACCAGTGCATGGCAAATTCTTGCAGGAATTGCTAGGTCTACCTGGCTGGGACCGAGTCTATACCCTTTTCTCGGCAGCCTGGAGGCCTATCCCTGACCGCCATGGAGTTGCCTCTGAGCCAAGCTACCCTTCGGCACACACTACTGCTCCTGCCAGCCCTCTTAAGTTCAGGTACTGCTCATCCTTTGACCAAACATTTAAGAGGCCAGAGCCTTCTCTTTGCCCTGTTCACCTGTATCTCCTCTCAAGATACCCACTCCAGGCTAAAGCTGGCTTCTCCTAGCCCCACTTCTCTACCATAAGTAAAATAAGCCCCGGGTGAGAGAAACCAGCTTGCCTGTGTCTTGGCCTGCTGCCCCTCGGTAACAGGACTTCACCCGGGCCTGTCTAAGCCCCTCCCAGAGGCTACCTGCTGTGTTCCAGGACAGGGGGAGCTAGCACCACAAATTGACGGTCAGACCTGGGCTGAGAGAGCACTTCGGGAGAATGAGCGCCATGCCTTCACCTGTCGGGTGGCAGGGGGACCTGCCACTCCCAAATTAGCCTGGTACTTGGATGGTCAGCTACAGGAGGCCACCACTTCAAGACTACTGAGCGTGGGCGGGGAGGCCTTCTCTGGAGGCACCAGCACGTTCACTGTCACTGCCCAGCGTGCCCAGCATGAGCTTAACTGCTCCCTGCAGGACCCAGGGAGTGGCCGGCCAGCCAACGCCTCTGTCATTCTCAATGTGCAATGTAAGTATTCCTGAAGTGGACAAGAGGAGACAGACGTTCCTGCACCCCCAGCACAACAGTTTGGAGCGTTTTGTTTTGAGGTAGTCTTACTACATAGCCTAGGCTGGCCTCAAACTTGCAAATCTCCTGTCTCAGCCTCCCTAGTGCTGAGATTCCTGGTGTGCATGACACATTCAGCTTTAACAGGACATTCACAAACATTAAACACTTTGCAAATGTAGCTTGCTTTATCCTCATTGATCTTATAAGGGGGTTTCTTTCTTTTTTTTTTGTCTCTATTTTGCAAATGAGAAATTGAGGCACAAACAGGTTAAACAATCTGCCCAAGGTCAAACAGACCTTAAGAAGCAGGGCCAGGATTCAAATCTATGGATCTTTTGTCTGGCTTTATATTCTTTTTTATTTATATACTTTGAAACTTTCTTCAAACCTAGTATGTAGCCAAGGATGACTGTGAACTTCTGATCTTCTTGTTTCTTCCTCCCTAGTGCTAAGATCTAGGCAGGTACCACCATGCCTGGTATAAAGACCGAACCCTAAGATCTAGGCAGGTACCACCATGCCTGGTATAAAGACTGAACCCTAAGATCTAGGCAGGTACCACCATGCCTGGTATAAAGACTGAACCCAGGACTTTGCGCACATGGTAGGCAAAACACTCTACCAACTGGGCTGCAACCTTAGCCCAGATTTTTAAAAGTTTGAGGCAGAGTCTTGCTATGTATCCAAAAGGGGCCTCACTGGAACTCTCCGCGTCTCAGTTTCCAGAACGCTGAGGTTGCAGGCATGACGACCACATGGCTTTATGCTTTGCGAGGTATCAAAGCCAGGACTTTGTAGGCAAACACCCTTCTGACTGAGCCACACCCCAAGCCCCTGCCTTTCTGTCTTAATCACTGTGAATTAATGCTGTGCTGGCAGGCCCAGCTACCTGTTCCTTAATGTTCTTTCTGAGGAGATTCCTAGGCCCTTGCTCCTATCCACATTTGAGAAGACAGGGCCAGAGTGAGGGGCTGTGATAAAAACAAATTCTTATTCTCTGCTCTGCTTTAGTTAAACCAGAGATTGCCCAGGTTGGGGCCAAGTATCAGGAAGCTCAGGGTCCAGGCCTTCTGGTAGTCCTGTTTGCCCTGGTGCGGGCCAACCCACCTGCCAATGTCACCTGGATTGACCAGGATGGACCGGTGACTGTCAATGCCTCTGACTTCCTGGTGCTGGATGCTCAGAACTATCCCTGGCTCACGAACCACACTGTGCAGCTGCAACTCCGCAGCCTGGCGCACAACCTCTCAGTAGTGGCCACCAATGATGTGGGTGTCACCAGTGCCTCGCTTCCAGAACCAGGTAAGCAATGTGCCTGCCAAACTGGTCAGTCGGGCACAGAGGTCCTGGAATGGGAAGGGAGGACGTGTTGCCCTGTGGGTGGCCTTGTGGATGAGTTGTCCCCAGCCACCTTGGGCAAGGACAGAGTAGATGGAACCATGGCATGTCAGGGTTGGGGGTACTGCCCACTTGCAAACTAACCAGTGGACAATCTGCAGGGCTCCTGGCCACCCGAGTGGAAGTGCCACTGCTGGGCATCGTTGTGGCTGGAGGGCTTGCCTTGGGCACTCTAGTGGGGTTCAGTACCTTGGTGGCCTGTCTGGTCTGCAGGAAAGAGAAGAAAACTAAAGGTAGGGCCAGAGGCAGTGGAGGCCGGGGGGGGGGGGGGGGGGGGGGCGGGGAACAGCAGCAAGGGCAGCAGGCAGAGCCGGACAGAGCCGGGCATCTCTGACGTGGCAGGGCACTTGCAGGGCAGGGCAGGGCTGGGGTGAGACTGCCCACACTGTAGGCAGAAGGGATAGGTACTGGAGCTGTCTCTGGTCCCAGGGCCAGGCCTGGGCATTTGAGAGACACTTGGCTCAAGGGTCGACTCAGAATAGGCAGGGGGCAAAGCCCAGCATGGGAGGGCACACTGATTCTGTGGCATGGTTTCTTTGTCCTCAGGCCCCTCCCGGCGCCCATCTCTGATATCTAGGTAATGCTCCCTGGGGCTGGGCAGATGGGCTAAACTAAAACGCAAGGCATGGATTTTAAACTATAGGACAGGTGGTAACCGGGGGCTTCTGGGAGGTCTGGACTGAGCCTCAAAGCGGACTGTACCTGCTGGTACCCAGGGTCTGTCTTAGCCTTTGTCTGTCCTGTAGTGACTCCAACAACCTGAAAGTGAATAACGTACGCCTGCCACGGGAGAACATGTCCCTCCCATCCAACCTTCAGCTCAACGACCTAACTCCGGATCTCAGAGGTATGTCTGGGACCAGTTCTCCCCCTGTACTTAATCTTCAGAACTTCTAAGAAAGAGAGACCCTGGGGGGAGGGGGTGTTTGTTTGTTTTGGTTTTTTTGTTTGTTTTTTCGAGACAGGGTTTCTCTGTAGCTTTGGTTCCTGTCCTGGAACTAGCTCTTGTAGACCAGGCTGGCCTCAAACTCACAAAGATCCGCCTGCTTCTGCCTCCCGAGTGCTGGGATTAAAGGCGTGCGCCACCACCGCCCGGCTGAGACCCTGGTTTTGAAGCAGAAACATGGCCTCTTAGGCACAGCCTTGTCCTGGGCACCATCCCGTTTGTCCCCCAACAGGGAAAGCAACAGAGCGGCCGATGGCTCAGCACAGCAGCCGTCCAGACCTTCTGGAAGCCGAGCCTGGTGGCCTCCTCACCAGCCGAGGTACTGGGCAGAGTCCTGCCTTCTCCTTACCTCCTCTCTTCATCCCTGTGCTTAAAGCCAATACCTCTGGGTGCTGGAAGCAGAAAGGGCTCCCCCAAGCTCCAAAGACCAGGATTACAAAGTCCCTGGCATCTCTGACCCACAGGCTTCATCCGGCTCCCAATGCTGGGCTACATCTACCGAGTGTCCAGTGTAAGCAGTGATGAGATCTGGCTCTGAGCTTGAGGGTGAGGCATGAGGCCCAGGTGGCCCCCAGAGCACCCCACCCCAATGTCTCCTTCAAGCCTTCCTCCGCTGGGCCACGTTGTGACCGTGAAGAAGCCATGTCACTGCCACCTGGCCCTCCTGGCAGGGGTACCCTGTGGGTCATGCATGATGTACTTCACCACACTCTAACCTGCAAGGTGTAGTCTAGCCTTGGCAGGACCATTGGTCAGAAATAGGCTTCTTGTACTCACTCAGTTTGGGGCCTTGCATGTGGTAACTGGGCCCAGGCAGATGAAACTCTGGCTTAGTGTGTTCAGGTGTCACCCACATGTAAGAGATGGGCCTACTACATGTTCAATACTAGTATCCTCTGCATCTCATATAGTAGGCAGAGGGATGCCCATGTGGGGGACAGGAGGGTCCCTGCACAACTCAGACGTCCTTCCTATGCTATGCAGCTTTCTCCCCTCAGGGAAAACAGGACCCTGCTAGCTGAACAGAACCAAATTGCCCTTTGCTCAGGAACCAGCCCCTTGCCCGGGGACCTGGCCAAGCACAAATTAGTCCCTTTTGCTGCAGATCTCTGCCTTTTTGTCCCCACCTCCTCTTGGGCATACACTAGACCTTCTCCACTGGGCATTAGACCTCACTGGCTGGGGCCCCCAGGTGTCAGCCTCTGGTATTAGCACAAGATGAGCGGGAAGAAGTCTGCTGATCCCCAGGATGGCATGTAGCTATGCATCGTTTTGTACAAGTGTTCCCCCTTTAAGCACATTCCCTAGGGAAAGGAGGAACCAGGGCCTTCTTAGGTCCCCCATTTTTGGCCTTCAGCGATTCACTGTGAGTGTTCTGAGCACGCAGGATTGACGGTTTCCCTCTCTGCATGTCTCTCCCCACTGTAGCAATATCCCTGACCAGTCCCTGGCTGCCCCGTCCTGTTTAGGGCATGTAAGCCAACAGTGCCACAAGATTTAGGGGGACACAGAGAAAGCGGGAACCACGTAACCCCAAAGAGCTAAGAATCTTTTAAACAGCAGCATGGAAATGACTGGAGAGCAGTAGAGCACAGAGTCCATTTTCCCTCCTTGTTATCTCGTTTTGTAATTTCTCTCATGTTACTGGCTCGTGCTGCACACACAGTAAACTACCGTGATTGAGTAAGTATGTCTTTGTTCGTTTCCTCAACAACTTGTTTGTTTTTTGAGACAGGGACTCATGTAGTCTAGGCTAGCCTTGAATTCACTATTGGGCAGAGAAAGATGGATGACCTTGAACATCAGATCTGCCTTCCTCCACCTCTCTAGGGCTGAGATTAGACATGGACCACCACCCTGGTTTTCCAAGTATGTTTTAGAACGAGTCCCACCCTCTTTTTCTTTTTGTTGTGCTGGTGATGGAACCCGGGGCTTGGCGCATGCCACGAAAGTGCTTGACTACTAAGTCTACACTGCTAACACATAAACAGCCTTCTCTCTCTCATTCCAACAGTTTTATATCCACAAAAGAGCACAGAGGATAATGTCTTAAACAAAACACAATAGATCCAGAGGAAAAATATGGAGCACTTTACAAATTCCCGTGTCAGGAATGTGCTCCGTATTAAATGAGTTTTCAATCACACAGCAGGCAGCTGTGTACCTACCAGGAGCAGCAGGTCAGTACCTGGAACATGACCTGCCATTGAGTAGGAGCTGCAGCCAAGGCGATCTGGTCCCTGAAAACCTCATGGAGGGTCTGGGATCCAACCACAGCATGCCTCCTCTCCTTGTGAGTCAAATTCTAATGCTGACTACAGAGCAGAGCACCTGGCCTAGTAGTGTCCAAGGGGAGCAGCAACAAAGCCTCTAGCCTGCCATGGTCACAGCTGCTGTGAGTCTGTGGAAACGTGAACTGTCCGTGTGTTGGTCTGTCAGGCTGACAGAGGGCCTTCCCTCCAGTCCTGTGGTCCTGCTGTCTTCCCATCGGTATTTGGCTTCATTACCCATTGAGTTGCTTAAGCCCAAGCTGCCTTTCTCTCCAGCCCCACGGCCAGTCTATCACCAGGCTCTGTTGGCTCTGCCTCTACTGGTGTGTCTCTCGAGAGAAGGAGTATTGAAGGAGCAGAGGGGCCTTGCTAGGGTTCCCTCTCCAGGATCTTAGCAATAGATCACACTCTTTGGGGCTAGTCTTATTTCCACATATTTGTCCTGGAGTCATGCAAGCCTGTGCAATGAGGTCCCTATAAAATTTTCAAAAGACAGGGCTCAGAGCTTCCGAATAGACAAAGAATAATTCCTCATGCTCATGCTGCTGAATTCTGATTTCTGACCTGCATTCATGTCTGTCCTGGAAGACAGGGAGGTGGGAGAGGAAGCAGCAGCTTTGCTCCAAGTCCCTACAGTGGTGGGTGAGGCTCTGCAGGCTTCCTTGCTGCTAGCACAGAGCCACAGCCAGCTCCTGTCCAGGCAGCAATAGTTTCATGTACTTTCGTCAGTCTCCATTCTCCCTTCTGTTTTACTGGTTTCCCACACTAAACTTTAAAAAAATCAGGTGTGTAGCCAAGCGCTGGTGGCACACGCCTTTAATCCCAGCACTCAGGAGGCAGAGGCAGGCGGATCTCTGTGAGTTTGAGGTCAGCCTGGTCTACAAGAGCTAGTTCCAGGACAGGCTCCAAACCTACAGAGAAACCCTGTCTTGGAAAACAAAAAACAAAAATTAGGTATGTGTGTGCGTGTTGCACATGTATTCATGGACGTGCGTGTGGCTGCCAGAAGACAAGTTCTGGTAGTTCTCCCTTGCCATGTGAGTTGCAAGGCCTGAACTAGGCTGTCAGGCTTTGCGGCAAGCACCGTCACCTGCTGTGCTTGCACATACTTTTGTAACCAATGTGTTGTGCTAAATGTCCTTTGTTAAAAACAACTAGAATGCGGGGGGGGGGGGGGGGGGGGGGGGGGGGGGGGGGGGGGGGGATGGCTCAGAGATTAAGAGCACTGGTTGCTCTTTCAGAGGTTCTGAGTCCAATTCCCAGCAATCACATGGTGGCTAACAACCATCTATAATGAGATCTGGTGCCCTTTTCTGGCATGTAGGTATACATGCTGGCAGAACACTGTATACATAATAAATAAGAAGTAAAAATAAATTAAAAAAAAAAAACCAACTAGAATGGTTTCAGGTTTCCTGACTGGACAGCAGCCAATACCAGTGGAAAACAGTTCCTGAATCAATGTTTTACTCCCCGCTACTTAAACAGCTTGTCTCCTAACACCGCCACGGCCAGGCACCCTGCGGCCACATGCTCTTGCCTGTGCTGCTTAACAAGTTAGGCGTCCCCACAACCTGCTCCTGAGGTTTCATCAGCTCGCACAACTCAGAAAGAGCTTTCCCAGTTTCTCATAAAGGACATTCAAAGGACACAGGCAAAGAAGTGAACAGGAGGCATGGTGGCCCAGGCCTGTAGTCCTCACGCCGGGAGGCAAAGGGAGAGGATAATGAGTTCGTGCTAGCCTGAGCTACATGGTGCACTACAGACCACTCTCAATACATTAGTAAGATTATTTTAAAACTTAAAAAGACATGTAAGATGCATGCCACCTCTTCTGAAAACCTCTCTGCCTGACTGTCTGAAGTTCTCCAGGCCCTGACCTTTGAAGTTTTCATGGAGACGGCACACAAAGGCACAGCTGAAACATGCACCGCTATGCTGAATGATCAAAATGGTCTCGTCTAATGCTGTGGATTTGGGGCGGGGCAGGGGGTACCCAGCAGGGTCTGGGAATTCCTTAGTATTGCTTCCTTGCTAAGAAGGCAAGACCCCATCTAAATAAGGATCCTGATCTATTATCATCAGCCACGTAGGTCAAAGGATTTGAGAATAAGCTGGGCTTGGCTGGGAGGGGGAGGTAGCAGCAGATCAGGTCTTCAAGACCAGTCTGCCCAGCCAGCTCAAAACCAGGCTGGGGTACATGAGACCCTATCTCACACCCCCAACATAAGGAAAGCAGAAGAATGTAAGACTGTAAGAGCAAATATCCAGACTTGTCTTGAGGAAGAGATTCCATTTTTGTGGCCTGCTTGGGGAGAAAAGCGAGCAGGTGAAAGGGGGCAGAGGTCAGAAACAGAGACGCCGGCCCTGTCCTGGTCACGCTGGAAATCACCAGGGTAATGGGGAGTAAGGAGTCAGGAGCCACGGGTGAAAACCAAATATGTATTCTATCACAACCTAACAGAATATTTTGGGTGTAAAATCACTTCCAGCTAACTAAAGGGTGTTTTTGGAAGCTCCACCCCCAACCTGTGTTCTGTGGCTCTCAGAAATCCAGTTCTTCCAATTCAAACGCCCACAGCAGCGTGGATCCATCCTTCCTTGGGGAAGGCAATCAGGCAGGTGGAAGAAACCCAGTGGCAAATGTGCACCTGCTCTTGCAGACAGGTGGCAGGTCTCGTGCCGGCCAGGCCCAGCAGTGGAGCAGGCAGCTATGAAGCTGCCAACAAAGACCATGTCTTCATCTGACTTTGAAGCACAGCCCCAGGAGGCTCAGATGAAGGTCAGTGTCTCTGCATCCCCAGCCTGGGAGGCAGAGTTGGATGGAGGAGTGAATACTTTCTTGCCTTCAGCGAGAGCTTTAAAATGCTGCAAGAAAGGGGAGAGGACACAGTTTGGAATATGCCAGCTGCTATATTTTCACAAGGATGACCACTGTAAAACCCCTTTAGGCTGAATTGAGCAAGGCGGCAGAGGTTTGTAATCCCAGTAGTTGGGAGGCTAAGGCAGGAAGATCACTGTGAGTTCAAAGCTATACTAAGATTTCCAGGTCAGCCTTGGCTATAGTAAGACATGTCCCAAAACATGTCCTTAGTCTACTTCCAAACTGATACATTGGGTTTATTTTTCAAAGAGACAGCAATGTACCCACCGCCTTCAAAACAACCCTTGCTCTCTTTCCTTCCTGTTTGCATTCATGCAGCTGCTGGCTTCTGTCTGTGGCTCCTCATGAAGCTCCATCTAACGCCTATCCTCTCTTTCTCCCCCCCCCCCCCGCAGTCTTCTCAGTTGCTCACTTAGTCATGGGAAAGGCACTGTGACCCCAAATGAGAATACAATCACAGCAGGGCCCTGGACAGGACAGCTGTGGTGACCCCGCTGCCGTCTCACCTGCGAGTTCTTGAATTCCGAGTAGAGGGAAAAGAGCAGGTGCAGGGACTGAACCCGGCTCTTGTAGAAAGGGATGTCCAGGATAGCTGTGACAGAGAAGAGCCCACAGGCACAGGAGAAACACACTCTGTTTAGGGGCCACTCCCCTCCCAAATGGGACATGTTACTTTGAGGTTCCATATTCAGCCCCAACACCACCCTAGAGGGCTGCCAGCAGTACAGCTGGCTGCCAGTGACGACTGTAAACCAAAGCACTACTGTGCAGGGATCAGCAAGCCCTTCCAAAGGCCTACAACACAGAGACAGGGCTAGGAAGGACGGGGAGGAGCTTACCACAGATCATGTCAATGTACTCGGCCAGGCTGCAATCGAGCTCAACTGTGGGCAGACTCACCTGGAAGCAACATAGGATGAACCACAGTCAAAAGGCTCAATAGGGCCTGTAAGCCCAACACCTGGAAGACAGCTCACAGAAAATTCTCTAAGAGTTTCAGGATAGCCTGTCTACATGGTAAGTTTTAGGCTATCTGTAGCTATATTGTGAGACTGTCAAAAGCAAGCAAACAAACCAAAAAAGGGGCTGGAAGCCGGGCAGTGGTGACATACATCTTTAGTCCCAGCACTTGGGAGCCAGGTGGATCTCTGTGTGTCTGAGACCAGCCTGGTCAACAAAGTGAGTTCCGGGATAGCCAGGGCTACACAGAGAAACCCTGTCTCGGAAAACCAAAAAATAAAAAAGGGACTAGAAAGATGGCTCGGCCATTAAGAACATATATTGCTCTTACAGAGGACCTAACCAGTGGGTAAAAACATTGGCCTTGCAAACCCCAAACCCTGAGTTCAACCCTCAGAGGTAAAAGGAGAGAGACCACCCCATAAAGGTTCCTTTGACCTCCACGTGTACAGCAGCATGTTTGCACTCCCCTCACAATTATAATTAATACTGTGAAAATAGCTACACTAGTGGGCATAGTCTACAGACCCAATGCAATCCCCATCAAAATCCCAGTGACATTCTTCACAGACCCAGAGAAGACATTTCTAAAATTCATATGGAAACACAAAGACCACAGACAGTCAAAGTAGTCAAAGTAACCTAAATAAAAAGAACACAGCCAGAGGTATCACATCACCTTATTTCAAATTATACTGCAGAGCCATAGCAACATAGAAGCATGGTACCGCCATAAAACAAGACAGTGTGGCCAATGGAGCATGAGAGGACCTACAAACACAGCTATGTACACCTGACAAAGCTGTAAGAAATGCACACTGCAAGAGACCAGAGTAGATCCATATTTCTCACCCTGCACAAAAATCAACCCAAATTCATTTCCTTGGAAGTAAAATATATTTGATTCTAACTCACCTCAGATAACAAACACAAGCCAAGATATGGAATGATGAGCCTGACACACTGTTGATGGGAATGCACACTGTGGGGAGAGATGGACCTGACGCACTGACTATGGGAATGCACACTGTGGGGAGAGATGGACCTGATGCACTGACTATGGGAATGCACACTGTGGGGAGAGATGGACCTGACGCACTGATGGGAATACACACTGTGGGGAGAGATGGACCCGATACACTGATTACGGGAATGTACACTTGCACAGGCACTTTAGATATCAGTATGGAGGTTTCTCAAAACACTTAAAATGGTGCCGGGTGGTGGTGGTGCACACCTTTAATCCCAGCACTCAGGAGTCCAAGGCAAGTGGATCTCTGTGAGGTCGAAGCCAGCCTGGTCTACAGAGTGAGTTCCAGGACAGCCAGGGCTACACAGAGAAACCCTGTCTCGAAAAACAACCAAAGAAACACTAAAAACATAGTGTCCATATATAAGACTCAGCTCTACCACTCCAGGGCACATGCCCAAAGGATGCCTACCTCAGAGACATTCACTAATCCATGCTTATTGCTGCTTTGTCATTCATAATAACAAGGAAATGGTTCAGTCTAGATGTCCATCAACAGATGAATGGATAATGAAAATGTGGTACCTATACACAACAGAATTCCATTTAGCCATAAAGAAAGATGAAATGAAGTTTACAGGAAAATGGAAAGACAAATAACACATGTTCTCTCCTTCGCGGCCTCTCACTTTTAATTTTTGTATATATGTATTTATGTGGGAGTAAGCTTTGGAAGAGGCTAGGAAACGAGGTAGGGCAGTTGAGAAGGGAAAAGTAAGGGTTTAAGGGAGAGTGGAAGGGTCACAGAACACACACGCTATGTTCACTGGGAGAGAAGACGTGGGGAAAGGATCAACTACAGATAAGGATGTATGCAGATGCCACAGTGCAAGCTGTCAGTTTGTATGCTAGTGAGAAAAATGAAAAATGAAGAAAAATTTGGTTCTGCTTGGGTGTGGTGGCTTATGCCTGTAATCCCAGCACTCAGGAGGCTGAAGCAGGAGTACCACGGGTTGGAGGTCAACCTTGGCTACATAGTCAGTTCCAATTTAGGATTCATAGTGAGACCCTGTCTCTGAAACAAACAAAATCAAAAACTAACCAACCAAACAAAATACAAGTTTCCTAAATTTTTTTTTCTCTTGCTACAAAAATTAGAGAGTACGGGGCACAGATTTAGCTCACTTTGCAAAGCACCTGCCTAATATGCAGGAAGCCCTTGGTTCAATCCCCAGGAATAGATGATTAGTAGACAGACAGGCAGGCAGACAGACAATCGATGGAAGGATGGGTGGATATAAACATTTTGGCAATTGTAAATGAGATATT